ATATATAGAAAAGGAATATGTTAGAATGGTAGGAAACCGTATCTATGCTTCAATCTTTTGTCCCATCCCAACATCATCACTGAATTTTCAGCTCTGTAGCTGGAGGCCCAGCTTTTATTTTAAGATTCTGGAGCAATGCAGATTGATTGTCCTCGTTCCTTCTGAGTTTTGTGCTATATTCTGTGCATTTGTCTTTTGCTCATTTTCTACTCTAATCTCCTCTAATGCTCCCTTCTTCCATCCCCAATTCTCACCCTTCTAATATTTAGTTACTTAACCTTTATACTTTACATGCTGTACAAACATTTCCTCCTCACTCTCTCTGCTGCTCCTATTCACTCTCTCATTTGGTTTCAGGCCTGGTCTACACTTGAAATTTAGATTGACGTAGTTACATGGCTGAGGTGTACAAATCTCACATGCCTTAGTGCTGTAGCTATGCCAAACTAACTCCTGCTGTAGACACAGCTAGGTAGAGAAAAGAATGGTTCTGTTGACCTAGTGACCACGACTGGGAGGAAGTGTCTATGCTATGCCACTGCACTGGTGTAGCTGTGCCCCTGTAGTGCAGACATAGCCTCAGTCCTTTCCTCAGCAGGCTTCCTATTGTTTCCTCCAGTGTCTCTCCAAATGCTAATGTGAGAAGCATGGGCACAATCACTGCCTGAATGTGGTGGTGATGCAGCTGAGTTCTTACAGGCTTGCCAGCAACACTACTACTGCCTGAAATCAGAGTAAGTCTCTGTGAATTTGACTAATGGGGGGGGGGCAGAGAGGGGGAAGAGGGGAGTAGTAACACGTAACAGGTCTTCTGGTGATGGCAATACAGTTTCTGCAAGGCATACATGCGCTTAGTCATGCTGCTGTCCATGTTTTCCCAATTCTGCTTCTTTGCAGCTAGTCCATCCTGGCTATAGAGTTCACAAAAACCCAGGACAAAACATTGCTTGTATAACTGACAAGAACATCCAGACAGATCCTGACAAAGTGGATGTTCTGGGTTTGTCAAGACACAATCCCCCCAAAGCAAAGGATATACATGAACTGTGTTGCTGCCTGCTGCCATGGAGAGGTTGGGAAGTGCACTACCTAGCAACGTGGCAAGGGATGAAGGGAAAGGAACGTAGCAGAGAAGGGAAAAAAGTGACCTGATGCTGAGATGTTTTATTTTTCTAGATAGAAAATGAAGTAAGTTTTAATGTATAAAATTTGAACAGAGTTGTAGTGTGCCTCAGCTAAAATAACTTCGCATAGCACTAGGGGATAAATGGAATTATTCTAAAAGTTTACCAAGGACAAAGGTGGCTCACTAAGCAAGCTACTGGAATAGGGATGCATTTTAGTGTTCAGAAAACAATTTTCATTTGAAGTATTTTTTTTCTAACACATAAATATGGTACTCAAAAAAAACAAAAACAAAAAAACCCCAACCCCAACTTTCCACCCAAGAGACTGAATCTATCAATTTTCTGCTCTTCAAAGCATTATAAAATTGAGGAGGAATCAGAATTTGGTTTAAGGTGTGGCTGTGGCATTACATATCTTGCCTAAAAGAGTAAAAACAACTATCCTGCATAGTTTCTATTAAGGAAAGAGTACTGGTAAAAGAAATATGTATGAGGGTCCAAGTAAGTGCTGTTTATAGTCCATACTTTACTAAGTTTTAAAGACTCTTAAATATTCCTTTCAACTGTGCTCCGGTAGAACACATTAGGATGTCTGTATGATAAAGAACTACATAAATCCACTTTCCTCTTCATTCCATCTGAGTAAACCCTCATCTGAGCTTTTGATCATTCTGCACATTAGATGTTGCAACTTCTTTTCTCTGGCATTCCTCACTCATCCTCCTCTATCACTCCACTGTAAAAAAACCACTCCAACTTTACCAGATATTATGGCCCTACACTCAAGAAACCATTACCCCAGCAAATTCACAGGTTGCATGACCACCCTATTCCTGCTGCCAGTAATGCTACTGGTTTACCAAGTGTTTTAAAGGTCCTCTTCCTTCAACATGGTTTTAGTTCAGCTGCCAGTAGCAGAGATCCCTTACTTTCAATGAATGTCTTTCCAGCATGAGGTACTGGAGCTTCTTTTTCAGTTATAAGAGTTTAGCTCTTGTATAATATCAAATGCTTAATTCCAAATGCACTTTCCTTCCCCCTCCCTCCAAACCCCATGATAAACCATTTTCTATTAGAACAAATAACATTACCTTTCTAGCTCCCTGAGAAACCAGCAAGTGTATAGGGCTGAATTGTTCCTTCTCCAGACTATTGTCTTGGAGACAAGCTTGCTACATCTACTAAATTAGTAGAAAGAGAACAGAGCTGGAAGATGGGTTGTTTTGCAGTTGCAGATCTCCTTGGGGTATAAAGTGCCAGGATAACTTCAGAACAGCCCATACCCTAGAAGCCTGTCCAGGCAGCTGATGATCAAGCAGTTCAGGAGCCACATGCTGTACTACATTTACTTGCCTTTCTGTGCAGCAATAGGAAAGGAAGAGGCAGGAGGTGGTTCCTGTTTGTTACCCCCCTCTCCCCCCCCCCCCCCGAACTGGTCTATTCAGATAAATTGTCATGGTTACCAAATTCATAAACCAAGGAAACCAAAAGAGCGCTCAGGAGCTTTTGAATAAAAAAACCAAATCCCTTCTGAACCTGGGAGAGATTAAAGTTGAAGTTTTCTTTTTTTTTTTTTTTCCTCTGAAATACACCAGCCCACCGAAGGGACTTTCTCCTAAGGTGTTATTGCCTTACTGGTGTTCTTATCTTGATTTCTTATACAAAAGTACTTTTAGTTTAAGAAGCCAACCAATATATTTGCAGCCATAAGTATTTAGTTTGTCAATCATTTAGCTTTCTCCAGATGGAATCTTATCTAGTCTATTTTAATTTTTGATAATTGTGGTTCAAAACTGAAAAACTATATTTTCTGATGATTAAAATTCCATCAGAACTAATGGTTGGTGGTTCCTTTATTAAAAGAACCTGCACATTCAAATCCTGTTCACTTTTGGTTTGCACTGACCTATACATCATTCCAATACAAAGTGCAACACCTTAAATCATTATTTGAACAGAGACGTGTCAGATCCCACTGTTTTATAGGTCTCCTGGACCTCCCTCTCTTTTGTTGGAATTTGCAACTGCATTCATGTTTGCAGTTTATAAGCCCTCTAGTGGTACACCTCTACCCCGATATAACGCTGTCCTTGGGAGCCAAAAAATCTTACCGCGTTATAGGTGAAACCGCGTTATATCGAATTTGCTTTGATCCGCCGGAGTGTGCAGCCCTGCCCGCCCGGAGCACTGCTTTACTGTGTTATATCAGAATTCGTGTTTTATCGGGGTAAAGGTGTATATCAATAACCTATACCGTCCAATAATCAAACAAGCCCATTGGCTGAAAATGTAAAGTTAAATTACGCTACTGTCTTTACGGGGGACCTCTCTAGTACTTGGCTGCTCAGAGGCATGACTCAGCCCAAGTCTTCTAGAGGTACTCAGTCTGCATCCTTAACACTAAATGTTGTGATTATTACATGCAACAGGGTGCACTTTTTAAATGAACTGTGGTTGCTGCATGCACACTTTGAGCATGACCTGCAGCTCAGCAAATGTGTATCTGATTGCTGCACACCCAAAAGTGTGACAGACTGAGTCCCAAATAAGGGAACTGCAACAATTATCCTGAAAAGTATACAATTCACATACTGAAGAAAAAAGGATTCTCTTGACAACTTTAAGAATCTCTTATTATGGGAGGTATTTGATGCAAATCTAAATATACAAATATATGCACAATAGGCATTATGCAAGAAGCCTCACACCATGGCAGATAAATAGGCATTTATTAAGATCAAAATCTCAAATATTAAATGACATTAAGGCATTTAGTATTCAGTTACCGTTTATACAGTAAAGAGGATTTTTTTCTTTGATACAAGACAACAAACCTGTACAAAAAATGTTTTCCATCATGGGAGAGTGGTTATTTTTTCCCCCCAGTGTCCTGTAAGTCATACAATAAAATCCTCATGGTAAACCACTGATTATCCAATAGAAAAAGCCACCAAATCATAACATTCAGAAATTCACTATCAGTAGGACAGCTCCACGCAAACACCCTGACCTCCTCTAAAGATATACGTGAGGAGGACTACAACAGATGCACACTGGGCTGAACTGACAACACACACTGGTATTGTAACCACTCAATTCTTTCACTTTGAATTTGTCTAGACTAGGGTGTGTGGTCCTTTTTGCACTAGCATTTACAAGTGTCACATGTTGCTACTTTCTCTACCCTTATCTAGCCGAAACTTTGAGCTAGTTAGTCAAAATCACAGAGCCAGAAACTTACTCTGATTTCAGGCAATAGTGTTACTGGCAAGCCTATAGAAACTCAGCTGCATCACCACCACATGCAGGCTGTTTAACTAGAGTTAAAACAGGACCAAAAACTTTAGGCTTTGTCTACACTAGCACTTCTGCTGGTAAAACTTTTGTTGGTCGGAGTGTGGGGGGGGGGGAAACCAAACCCCTGACCGACATAAGTTTCACCAACAAAAGCGCCGGTGTGGACAGCGCTATGTCTGTGGGAGATTCTCCCACCAACATAGCTACCGCTGCTCATTGGGGGTGGTTTAATTATGCCAGCGGGAGAGCTCTCTCTCATCGTCATAGAGCGGCTAGATTGGAGACCTTACAGCAGCGTAGCAGCAGTGGTACAGCTGTGCCGCTGTAAGGTCGGTAGTGTAGACAGAGCTCTCTCCTGGCAACAAAGAGCAGCTACACTGCGCACCTTACAACAGGACAGCTGTAGCAGCACAGCCGCACCGTTGTAAGGTGTGCAATATAGACATAGCCTAGACCTAGACAAATCATTTGATATAATTGTGTTGTGTTCCCTTTCTGCATTTGTAGAGGAACAAATCAAGAAGGCTTTGTTTAAAGGGAGTTTATTTTAAATGAACTATGCTGTCAAGTGATTAATCACTTTTAATATTTTTATTCCATTGGAATGAGAACTTCAGGAAATGGTCACAATATCAGAGGATTCACTAACAGAATTTTACTATATTCTTACTACAGAGTAAAACAATATAAATTAACACTGCATATTTCACTATTCTTTTCAGCATTCGACAGTTAGAAACCAAATAGGCTTTCTAAAAGTTCAATATAAAAATGTCACACTTATCTTCCCTTTAAGGCAAGGTTTTGTTTTGAAGAAAAATGTAATAGAATAATCTCTGGATAAACGTCTGTGCTCAGGTTTAATAGTTAGGAAATTGTCCTTTTATAAAATGTTCCACTCTGACAAGAGGAAAAAGCTATTAAGAGAAAGATGTTGACCCAAATTGCACTGTATTAAAAGGTGAAGTTTCCTTGTATCAAAGTCCATTATTCATCATCTTTAGAACCCGTTTTGCTTAACTATAAAAGACAAAGAAAAAATGTTCAGACATATTGCATTTATTAGGAACTATATTTCTATTTTACACTACATACAGGCATATTAGGTTGATGAGTTTGTACTAACAACTGAATGCATCAAAAAGTTCAAATTACTCAACTTATCTTTTATAGCTTATACATTTGACTCATTGTCCTCTGAACTTAAGACTCTGCTTTCCCATATTTATGAACTATTTTACATCCAAAACATATTCTACAGTTAATCTTAGAACCAGTTTAAACTTCGTTAAAGACATTAGCTGAATTATTAATGTTTCCATTTAATAAGAAAAGGCTGATACCAGTCAAACATTTTGGAAAGTCAAACAGATGCAGTTCTTAAAAGTATCCCACACATTTCTGCAACAATTGTCATGAGTGGATTTAGAGTTTAAAAACCTTGATAGTGCCCATTTGCTGCAGTTTCAACACTATGCTCAGAGGTATGCTGACAATAGGTTATACCAATGTTAAATCAAATATGTTTTGTTATAAAGTAGAACTTGTTAAAAATAGCAATGTTAATTTATATTCCAGCAGCAGAAGTAATGGGGTGGAAATGGCAAATGGAGGAACTAACAGACCAATATTGTCTGTTTCCTTGTACTCCCCATTCTGTCTGTATCCATCTGTCTCTTGTCTCATAGTTAGATTGTAAGCTCTTTGGGGCAGGGGCTACTTTTTTTTGTTCTGTTAGTACTTCCCCTAGCACAGTGGGATCCTGATCCTAGGTGCTACAGTAGTACAAATCAATAATTAATAAGTGGGACAAGGAAGAGTTCTTTGTGGGGAGACTAAGGCAGAGGGTGCAGGCGATGATGTGGGGCTGCTGCTTAGGAGAAACACAACTGAAGTGGCTCCTTGCTTCTACTTATCCAGGGCCCTATAAATCCTGGCTGCATCCCTATTAGTTGCCCATGTGAAGACAGCACATTCTGGAATTCACAGCTAAATTACATACTGAAAGTTCTCGCCTCAAAACTTCATTTGAAATGCTCAAAAGATAAAACCTGAGTTTAAAGGAGGAATGTAAGACAGTTAATGCTTTCACATTGGATATATCTTAAGTTTCAGAAGAAATGTGTATTTTTAAAGCCTTGTAAGGGATTATCCTTAGGCTCTATAGAGAAATGGGTAACCACAGTCACTAATTCTTGCAGATTTTTTTAAAAACAATTTCTAAAACTTGAAAATACTTACATGCTGGATGTATACAGAAATTAATCCGAGACCACAGTCAAATCCAAATGTTGTTGGGAAGAAAAGCAAAAAGACAGATTAAATATAATTTATCATTACATCTGCAGAAAAACAAATGTTCTTATGCAATAATTTCACAGTTGTAACAGTCATGTTACCTTAATTACATCCACCCAGTTCCATCCTCGAGGAAGCTCCCCTTTGTGATCTATAGAAGAAGGAGTGTTTATTTTCAGCTCTCCGACAACAACAGCTAACCTCTAGCAAGATGTCATATCTTTAAAAGCTGAACTCTCATATTACCGATCTGGCCAACACAATATCCAACAAGCGAATGCCTGGAAAGCAAGGAACTCACAGTACTAACTTGAGGCAGGTGTAGTGTGCAACTCTGTGCAAACTTCCCCATTCAGGAATTGAGGTGAATAAGCAGACCTAACTGCCATATCACTGCTATGTCAGTCAGTTTCTGCTTCAGGCTGTTGTCACTGGTGAAAAATTGTTTGGTAGCTTTATGAGCAAAGCAAGTGAAGACTGGGATGAGACCCAATTCATTCTCACTTGTGACTCAAGGTGTATCTGAATCTGTCTTTGAAGGTACAAAACTATCCTGAACACACCACCATTTTCCTCAAGTCTGGAAAAGGAGGAGTAGACTGTATTGTACAAACCTGTTTTGTCTGCTAGCTTTCGTTTCTGGGTTTTGGACAACTGCTCCTTTTTGTCTCTTTTCTTACTTGATGGGGCTATTTCATGAGTTCCAATTGAGATGTTATTGCCTACAGATGTCTGAGAAAAATAAAAAGTATAATTTTAAATGTCTCTCCAACGGTGACTGAACTGGCAATTGATATCTAGGTATCACCCTGATGGGTAAACTACAAATAATGTTTGATTATGTCTGATTTCTTATTGAGACATCCCAAATGTTTTAAATTACATTAATACTGAAAGATGCTTGTGTTTTATCACACAACCACCATGATGACAGTTCTCCGCAGTTAGTTTAAAAGTAGTACTAATATTTCTAATGTGCTTGTGACTGGTTAGATCACAGAACTCCCCTTGAGAGCTGCCACTTGATGTGCCAAGACTACCTCTGCCCCTGCTTTCCCTGCCAGCTCGGGACCCCAGCACCCCATCTTGCTGAGTCAGACACGCCAGTCTGCTCCAACACAGACCCAGGGTCTGAATTACTTGCCCCAAACAGCTGCAGGCTTAACTGAAAGCAGCTTACAGAAGTGTTCTTGTCTTTAACACTCAGATGCCCAACTCCCAGTGGGATCTAAAACCCAAATAAATTCATTTTACCCTGTATAAAGCTTATACAAGGTAAACTCATAAATTGTTCACCCTCTATAACACTGATAGAAAGATATGCACAGCTGTTTGCCCCCCCTCCCCCAGGTATTAATACATACTCTGGGTTCATTAATAAGTAAAAAGTGATTTTATTAAATACAGAAAGTAGGATTTAAGTGGTTCCAAGTAGTAACAGAACAAAGTGAATTACCAAGTAAAATAAAATAAAACATGCAAATCTAAACCTAATACAGAATACAACTAAATACAGGTAAAATCTCACCCTTAAAATCGTTTCAATAAGTTTCTTTTCTCAGACTGGACACCTTCCTAGTCTAGGCACAATCCTTTCTCCTGGTACAGCTCTTGTTCCAGCTCAGGTGGTAGCTAGGGGATTCCTCACGATGGCTGCCCCTTTGTTCTGTTCCACCCACTTATATATTTTTGCATAAGGTGGGAATCCTTTGTCCCTCTGGGTTCCTACCCCTCCTCACTGGAAAAGCATAGGTTAAAGATGGATTCCAGTTAGGTGACATGATTACATGTCACTGTAAGACCACAAGCCTTCATTCCTCCCAGCCTGACTCACAGGAAGGCTTGCCTGCAAACAGCGCCATCCACAATCAATCGTCCTGGTTGATGGGAGCCATCAAGATTCCAAACCACCATTAATTGCCCACCCTTTGCATAATTACAATAGGCCCTCAGAGTTATATTTCATATTTCTAGTTTTAGATACAAGAGTGATACATTTATAGAAATAGGATGAACACTCAGTAGCTTGTAAGGTATCATTACAAAGCTTATAAGAGACCTTTTGCATGAACCATATTCGTTACATTATATTCACTCATTAGCATATTTTTATAAAATCATATATAGTGCAACGTCACAGTGCTTACAGTGGTAGCTTGAATAATTACTTCCATAACCCCTGCAATTGCATATGTCCTGACTACTGCTTAGTGGGGATAGAAGTGGTTCCCTATCAGTGTTGCCGGTACAACTAACCAGTTTAAAAGATCAGTGAAATGAGTTGGAACTGTGGATCGGACTCCCTACGTGCTCATACAATTCTTTATTCACAGCACAAATATACAATGCCACAAGGGCTATTTATAATGCTGCTTGTACAGTAGAGCCAAAAGACAGAGCCAAAATGGAAAGGCTGAGAGCCCACAGAAGGAACCTGTGTGATTCTAGCATTGAAAGACAGTATGATTGTACAATCATTTCCAAGGAAGGTTTCAGTAACGTGTTTGAGACAAACACTGTCATTTTAAGCAGAGTTAAAATTCCAGTTTCAAAGTCAAACATGAACCAACTCTGCAAAAACTAACTTTTTCAATTAACTTGGTCAGTTTATTTTCAAACCAAGGGCAGGTCTACACTTAAAAAAACTGCATCGGCACAGCTACACTGATGTAGCACTTTAATGAAGATGCTCTATGGTGACAGGAGAGAGCTCTTCCATCTGCATAGTTAATCCACCTTCCCGAGAGGTGATAGCTGTGTTGATGGGAGAAGCTCCTTCTCTGACACAGCACTGTCTACCCCGGAGGTTAAGTTGATATAACTGTCACTCGGAGTGTGGATTTTTCATACCCTTGAGTGACTTAGTAATACCACTGTAAGGCTTTGTCTACACTGGCACCCCGTTGAACGACAAAAGTTGTAACAACGAAAAGCACCGGTGTGGACAGCACTTCATCGGTGGGAGCTGCACTCCTGGCAATGAAGCTACCACCCCTCGTTGGAGGTGGTTTTATTTTGTTGGTGACTACACAACGCACCTTGCAATGCTGCGGCTGCAGCGGCACAGCCCCGCCGTTGTAAGGTGAGCGGTGTAGACATAGCCTAAGGGCTTGTCTACACTATCGGCTGGATCGATGGGAAGCGATCAATCCAGAAGGGGTTGATTTATCGTGTCTAGTATAGACGCGATAAATCAACCGCCAATGGCTCTAGCATCAACTCCGATACTCCACCTCAATGAGAAGCGCAAGGGGAATCGACGGGAAGACACAGCGGTAAGTAGATCTAAGTATGTCAACTTCAACGTTATTCACGTAGCTGAAGTTGCTTAACTTAGCTCAATCCCCACCCCTGTAGTGTAGACTTTAGAGTTTGAACTCTGTTAAATTCAAGGCTCTTGGGATGCCTGAAAACAAAGGCCCTTTATTTGTTTTCAAAAGAGTACATTTACTGCTCATCAAGAAGGAAACAGACTGATAGTCATGGAGTGTGAACTCTTATTAACACACACAAATCCCTCAGGTACAGTACACCTCGAAGGTCAAAAGCACCATTTAGTTCTCATGCCCATTTGATCCTTGGCCTCTTTAGTAAGGTGGATAAAAGATCTGAATTACTTCCAGAAGGTGGTAGTTGTATTTCCAATATTGACACTTGTCCTATAGGAACCAGCATGAGACCACCAATTCACTATCTTCTGGCCACTACTAAAGTATGCAGATTTAAATCTAGTCATCTAGCAGCTAAGGTTCAATATCTTATAACCAATACCATTAGCCACTCGTCCCAGTCTCTAATCTTTCCTACCTACATTTAGCTTCTTGCTTTCCTAGGCTCTCTACAGGGAAAAACTACATCAACAGGGGCCCAAGCCTAGAGGCTTCTCTAATACAAAAGAGAATAACCGTGAGCATGGAAAATTTGAATAGGAGGCTGGATAATATGAAGGATAAAGCTTCAAATTTTCCTGGCTCAAGTGGAAGCTCAGGAGTTCTCATAGGTGTTCTCAGGAGTCAGAACACCTATGACAGGATAATTCTAACCTCGTTCTGAACAAAATTATAGATGAAGCAAATAAAAATTGGTGCATATGTGCTTTCTAGAAACAGACTTTTGTCAAGTTTCCCACTCCAGGTGAAATACTGCTTTAACAGATCGGGTTAGAAGTGAAGGTCTCCACTCAAGCCAGCTTGATGGAATCACTTTGAGCAGAGTTAATGTGCTTGGCATGTGCTTCATGTTCTAGACTACTGAGCCATTTAAAGTAGAATCAAGAAGTGTCATCTAACTAAATGTAATATTTTTATTTCCATCAGCTAAATAATTTTTACATTGATTGTAATTGATTGGTTGCTTCTGCTATTCCTTCCCTCACTACTCTTGTCAAATATTTAATTGTTCAGACCACCCAGCCCACAAGCATAGCTCATCCATTCTAGACTTTCTTCACCCTGCAAGTCAAAACCCAGATTATTAACTGTGTCTTGCACTAGTTCTGTAGTCACCATTGGATATCAGTTGGCTGTGTTAGATTAGGGAGTGTTTCTAATCACCGCTTCTCTCTCACTTCTCTTCCAGAAACTTTTTGGTAAGGTGGCTGAATACCAAATAAATATCCAGGTTACAACCACAGAGCAGTGCTACACTTCCTTTCATCTACTTTTTTCTAGTCACTATATTATGGACATAGTATACTGGCTTGCACCTCACAGATATGCTCCAGAAGTTTTCTGTAGCAATGTGAGATGTTTAAATGTAGAGTAACTAAACATTCTATTCCTTTTGTTGTATTAAAAAAAAAGTTCATTTATAAAACTAAACTAGATCAAAATGCAAGTTATACACTTACCACAATATGAACAGGTTGATTTTCCATGAACAATTCTTTATTATCTTTGGCATATTCAAAAAGTGTGTATGTCATGGCAGTTCCAAGATTAACTTCAACTTCTTCCATTAATTTATCCAATATACTTTGTTTTATAGCTAAAGATCTAGAAGAGACCATAAAATCCAATTACAGGCCCAAAAGAATTCAAGAATATTGTAAGAGAGAGACCACATGTAAAACAAAAGAAGAAGTAACTGAAATACTTACATGGTGTTGTTGAAGAAAGCATTCATGGATATGTTTGGAGCCGTCTGTGGGTATGTTTCTGGCCATGAAATTTCTATTAGGAAGGCTTTGGGATCGCCATTTTCACCTATCTGAAAGGAGATGAAACACTTTAAAATGGGAAGCCTCAGTCTGTTATCAAACCTTAGAGACAAGGTGGGTGAGGTAATCTTTTATTGCACCAACTTCTGTTGATGAGAGAGACAAGCTTTCAACTTACACAGAAGCTCTTCCTCTCAGAACTGAGAGAGAGCTTCTGTGTAGGTCAAAAGCATCTCTGCTGACAATAGCTCATCTTAATTAATTAGCCTCTTAGAGTTGGTAGGGGAACTCCCACCTTTTCATATTCTCTGTGTGTGGAGATTATTTCCTCACTATATGTTCCATTCTACGCATCCGATGAAGTGGGCTGTAGCCCACAAAAGCTTATGCTCAAATAAATTTTAGTCTCCAAGGTGCCACAACTACTCCTGTTCTTTTTGCGGATACAGACTAACATGGCTGCTACTTTGAAACCTGTCATTACTGATAGTCATTTTAAATTTAGATATACAATAGTATAACCTATACTCAAACTTTTTACAAAACTCAATAGATATGTTTAAAATTTCTATAAAAAGGCTTGTGCAAATTTAAACATTTTCTGTCAGTGTTTGCAATCCAAATATTCTAACATTCTACATGAGAACCAGAAAATGAAACTTGCTTTCTCTTCATTGTCTAATCTAAATACAAACCAAGCAGCATAATGCTGTGAAAAAAACATGTTTTAGCGACCTTTGATGTCATAAGTAATGGGTAAGATTAAGACTTATTAAATTGCAATAATTGTCTCTAGGGATGGGAGGCAATAAAGACCAACTAACAAGTCAGCTCATAAAAATTGTTCACCTAAGCCCATCATACCCAGGGAAAGCCTTGTCCACATGAAAAGCTTGCATCTAAAGGTGTCGTTATAAACAGATTTAATTAAACCTGCATAAATCCTTCTGTGGCCACTTATTTCAGTTTCTGTGGTGTATTCCTATCCATGCCCCCACAGGGGTTTTCACTGGCCTAACTATATTGATTTTAAACGCATCAAGGAAAAGTGTGGAAAATTTTCCTTGTGGACAAGGCCTATTCTTTGCAGGGCATGCTGCAAGGCTAAGGGTACGTCTTCACTTACATCCGGGTCCGGATGTAAGCAATCGGTTTTCCGAGTTCGATTTATCGCGTCTGGTTAAGACGTGATAAATCGATCCCAGATCGATCCCGGAAGTGCCCCGGATCGATCCCGGAAGTGCTCGCCGTCGACGCTGGTACTCCAGCTCGGCGAGCGGAGTACGCAGCATCGACGGGGGAGCCTTCCTGCCGCGTCTGGACCGCGGTAACTTCGGACTAAGGTACTTCGAATTCAGCTACGTTATTAATGTAGCTGAATTTGCGTACCTTAGTCCGAAGTGGGGGGGTTAGTGTAGACCAAGCCTAACTCTCTGGCTTTGTTGGATCTATGTGGAAGGAGCAAGAGAAGGGACAGCAAAGATTATGTAAAGATGATTGTGAGCAGTAGGAACCTAATATACTCAATATATAGTTTATATTTACATTGACTCAAAGTTTCAAATGTCTTTATAGTAAGCTTTTCGGGAATAGCGTGTTGCATTTTGCCACTATTTGAGAAATCTTTGTCGTGTCTTCTTTTGGTCTCATTTTATAATTAACTGTAATCAATGTGCTGTGCAGTACACTAACTACATTCAGGAGAATGGCAGACTAATCCTTTCAACTCTATTCCACTGACTTTCTACCTAGTGAAAAGTACATATTGCCAGATCTGATGCTGTCATATTATTCTTCCTTTTACAATAGATTGGTTTTCTTTGCCTTTCAGTAAAAATTCAGCAACATTATTGCATTCACTTGACACTTTCAGTTTTGAAAGTTACATGATGCTATTCAGATTTTTTTTTTAAATATCATGATCTATTTTCAACATACCTTGTGTGTCTGTAGGTCCTAAACCTGCAAACACTTACAGACATACTTAACTTTACTCTGCTGAGAAAAGTCAGCAGTACTATTCATGTTAGCAAAATGAAGGAAATCTGTGTTTGCAGGACTGGAGCATAACTTATTTACTTAGTCTCTCTGTATTAGTTCCCTACAACTTCAATTACAGTTGCTCATGTTTTTTCATGACAAGTTATACTTTACTTGTTCCTCTATGACCGTGATAATTGCTATTGTAATGTTTGCTTTTGTTCAAAAAGGTAAGTTTGTCATGGCAAGTTATTTTGAAATTATGTAAAAGGGCACTAGTGCCTTTATTGCTAAATAGGTGAATATCCATCTGTTTCAAGAAAATGCTTTGTAATGGAAAGTGTGCAGAATAACTTTAAATGAATGATATATTACATCTAATTAAAGCTTCATGTGGTCTTACCCTATACTGAAAGGAAACAGGACTAAGTTCTTTGAAACACTCATCTCCTTCATAAATAGAACGTAATGCTTCTAGTTCCATCTGAAAAGAACAGATGGAGAAAAAGGTTAGCAATTTCAAGCGGATACTGAACAGATATAAACAGACGAGTATCAGCATAATATACAGAAATCCACATACTCTGTTTTTCATTTTAAAAAATAAACAAATTAAACTTTAGGCAATAATTGGTCTAGATATCTTGTCTGATACATTCCACTAACTTAAAATAGGATTATAGAAGTGAGTTCAACAAAGCTGGCATGCTAGTCTGAATTCAATTTACTTTCTACAAACCCATTGCCCATCTTGGCACATTTTACTGAACGCTAGAAGACCACTTTTTTAAAAAAACAAAAACTTTATTCTTAACTTCCCCCAGAAAATACCAAACATCTGTTTCAAGAACATTTCCATCCTCCCTATATTACTTTGTACAAAACTACAAGAAAGGGATTTCATAAGTGAGTAGGGACCAGAATATCTATTACCCCCAAGTACCTATCACAGAATGACTTTCTGCATGGTATTTACAGTTAATAAAATCTAACATGCCGTCGGTTGAATTAATACAATCACATATAATGTGTACACTGTATATGAGCCATGTATTAAAATATTTTAAAGAATTTAACAAGTAGAAAGATAAGTATATAGGACTATGCCACCTAAGAAACAATATGAGTGATGTCGCATTCAATTAAAAGTGAAAATCCTCTGTAGCTGACGGAGGTCTCTCGGAGAAGAGTAAGGGGAAAGCGCCTGCCCGAACTCTAGTACAGGACGCCGCTGGCGGACTCTTGTTGGAGCCGGTTAGCTAAAACTTCGGCATTAGTCAGGCGTGGTTGCTGCTAACGTTACTGGTTTATTTTTGCATCACTTTCCAAGTTACGTTTATTTGGATATAAAAAAAAATCCGTGAACCCGGGGGGGGAGGAGCGCTCAGCGCCGCGAGTGGCCGAGCAGGGCGGGCCGGAGACCTCGGCGCCCGGGATCACGGAGCGAGGTAGCCGCCGTCCCCGGGCCAGGCAGGGCGGGCAGCAGCCCCAGAGACCCGCCGAGCGCGGTGCGGCAGCTGCCGCCGCGGGGCGGCGGGGTCGGTGTCTCACCTCCTGGTCCTCGTTCGCCGCCATAGCCCCGGGCCGGGGGCCCCCGCCTCAGCCCAGGGACTCTCACACAGCGCAGCAACCGGTACCCGAACCCGAACCCACACGCGAACACAGCGCGCATGCGCAGCCTACCGTCACCACAACCCCCAACTGGTTCCCCTAGCCACTAAAGGGCTGCTGTGTTGACTCCTATTTCGAGCTATGATTGGGCTCGTCTTCCATAGTATCACCAATCCCGCACGACAATTGGCTAAATCTTGTGGCCACGCCTCTTTTCTCTTTCTCTCATTGGTTCCTACGACGATTCTCGAGACCCAATGGTTGACTTTGTCGTTGAGCAGGCAACGCTGATTGGTGGAATGTACTGTCACTCTTATCCCCTTGCTCTGGCTTCCGGAGGCGATTCTCCATCTCTGTTGCTGCCCAGTGGCAGCTTGCGGGCGGCGCCGGTGGGTAGGGGCCCGCGGAGAGCTCACTTCCTGGAGGTGGTAGGTCGGAGCTGCTGCTGGCCGCCCCGCGGCTGTTTACTGTGTGGCTGCCCCGTGCGGCGGGGAAAGGTCCGCGGCCGGGTGCGGAAGGCGGGTTGCCGCGGGTCGGGCGCTGGCGGTGGGTCAGAGGCGGTGCAGGGCTGGCCGTGCTGTGTGGGGGGGCGGGGGACTTGCTGTAGGGGCTGAGCCTGGCGGGTTAGCACTGGGTGACTCTCCTGCCGGGAGCTGCTCCTGGTCATCCTGCTCATCACTTGCTCTCTGCGCTTTTGGCACATAGGGTTAAAGAAACCCTTTGTCCCCCCCCCCCCCCGCCCGCCTATGTCCGTTACTGGCAGGTTGGGCTATGTCTGTGGTCAAGCTGCACTGACAAAAACATACTTTTCCTTTAGTGAAAACAGAAATGACTCCTCAATGTAATGTTATAAATTAAACAACAGTCCGCACTGTTGTTCCACCTCTGTTTTTCTCAGTGCACCATGTCTATAGACATCATGCTTTTCAGAGGAGGGACCATCTTTGTATAGTGTACTGCATCATACATGAGGTTGGTGCTAAAAATGACAATGCCACGGTGAGGAAGAACATGCTTGTTGCTATATACAGTACCTGGCCGATGCAAACCTTATTTAAGCAGGCTGCTTCTTATAGTGATAACAGATATAAGCCCTAGCCTGCAATTGACTCTGCCTGAGTAGAACCTGGGCTCTGCAAGCTCATAGGTTTGTTTATGCAGATCCAACTGCAGGATTGGGACCATCCGAGTTCTCAGGCCAGCCCCTAACCTGCCTCCTCAACTTCCAGTGGCCCTTTGGCTCACAACTTTGCTAATAGTGCCAGTGTCTGAGCAATATGAATAAAAACAGAAAAGTTTGATCTTGCCTGAGATGCAATGATTCCCCCCCCCCCCCATTTTCTGGTTCTTCCCACCCTCCAAAAAACATTATTGACTGATTCTTATCGGAGTTTTTTTTAAAAAATTCCTGCATCTTAAAATTGTTTGTGTTCCTTGCATTTTAAGTTGCATGAGCAGACTGTATTTAACTTGCGTCTTAAGTAAAAAGACTAGTTTAATGCATTTTTCTTAATGAGATATCTTTTGTATCTAATCAGAAATTGCATGTTTGAAAAGGGATTTGAGATATGGGGTATTTTTGTTTTTCAGGCATTCTGTAAAACTTCAAGATGAGCCCAACACAATGGGACTTCCCTGTGGAACTATGTTGTCGGCCTATGGCCTTTGTAACCCTCACTGGCTTGGATGTAGTATATAATGCTGTTCATCGTGCGGTTTGGGATGCCTTTTGTGCAAACAGGAGAGCTGACCGAGTACCAATTTCTTTCAAAGTTCTTCCTGGTGACCATGAGTATCCCAAATGCAGAACAAAGGTATATAGTCTTGGGGTTTTCTTATAAAGACCTAAAATACATTTAACGTATTATGCAAACTATAAAATGATGTACTGTAAAGTGTTTGCTGTTTGTGATTATTCTGTGTAAATCTTCAGTCAGAATAAATTAGCTATTAGAAAGTTAATTGAAATCTGGAAATCATGCTAAGGGAGCACTATCAGTCTTACATCAATAATTTGGACACTTTTCATTTCAAATATTCAATTTTTAGATGTTCTGGAAAATTTTTAAAGCAGCTGTTTGGGTGAGACAGAGTAAAATACAGTATGTGTGGTGTACCTGAATCTCTGCAGTGAAACTGAGACATATCAACTAGTGTGACACTTGATAAGCAACATAGTCCAGTGATTACTTATTACAGTGGAGAGTTGGAAATAAAGAAACCTGGATTCTATTCCCTAATTTTGCTTTTAATTGTGATTTAGGACAAGAAACTTGCGTCTTTGTCAGTTTCCCTCTCTGTAAAATGGGGGTAATACTTACTTAACTCTATAAAGCATGTTGTGATCTTTGCATGACAGGTACTATGTAAGTTCAAAGTATTTTATATTTCCTGAAGTTGACTTTTCTTTAGTGTCAGAATCTCTCCTTCCGACACTTCCCCCCCCCCCCCCCACGTAAATCTATTTTTGATGATGTTTCAGTGGCATACATCTGGCTCTTGAGCCAACAATGGGGTGTGATGGTTTAAAAAAAAAAAATCCTACCACACCTTCTCCATTAGGAAGCAGACACTTGAGAGCAAGATTGATAGAGGAAAGATCAAGTCCTCAGGACTGATCATGGACACATGGAATTCCCCATGCACGTACCACAGCAAAAATAAACAGGGTTGGTAGCTTGTTTTAATAAGTTAAATTAATATTTTCAGAGAACATCCTATGAGTGGTACATTCCAAAAGGGATATTGAAGACTGGCTGGATGAATAAACATCTGAATCTGGTGCCAGCTCTTGTTGTGGTGTTCTATGAACTGGACTGGGATGAGCAACAGTGGAAAGAAAAACAGTCAGAATGTGCTACCAGAGTTGAAATTGTCAGGTACAGTTGTTTCAGTTGGGTTATAAGTATTAACTTGTATTTGTATTAAGTGTAGGTTGCAAAGTCTTTGTATGTACCGTAAAGCAGTTTCATCTTATTTTTTGTTTTAAAAAATATAAGTTTGTGTTGGGTTGATGGGGCTCTTTATAGATTAATTATTATTGAAATTTTGTTTTGAATATTCGATATATATTTAAGAGGATTTAAAGATGTCTTATTTTAGAATGTAAATTGGCAAAGTTGCTTGGGAGCCACCTTTACTTCCTGTTTTCTAAAATCAGTGAGATTAAAAATGCCGTTGTTACAATCGATCTGAGAAAAGGAGAGAGAATATGTATGTCGTGGATGGTGCATGTGCCTTTTTAATGACTTTAAAAGTAGACTGAAAGTCGTATAAACATGAAATATGAGCTTGTCATTGCAACTCTTCTATTTCAGACAAAGTTTGCAGGGAAGAAACACAAAAGTTGCTGTGGTTTTGATTCAAAAGAAAACACCCTTACCTCCAGGTACTAAAAGGCTAATCAAACTGCAGTGTATGCAAATATGAGGACCACATTTTCAAAGGGACTTTACCCTGGTCATCATTTTGTGCACTTTGCGTGCAGTTCTCATGCACGATTTGTGTGCACAAAAATTCACTTGCCACTACATACACATACACAATGGAAAATTTGCTCTGAAAAATTGGCCCTAAAGTCCAGGTGCTTTTTCATTACCTTTTTTAACCAATTTCAGTTCCTCAGAACTATGATTTTTTTTTTTTTATGTCCAGCTTCTGATACTGTGTATCAAGCCTATTGCAAATATGACTGTAACCTATCCTACAAAGCAGTTGTCACTTAATGCTTACCTGAGATCAATTAAAAATAAACTGTAATTACAGCTGATTTAAAAGCTGCACTGAAGCATTTGGTAACTGCATAAGCATTTTAGTGTAAGAATATTCAATTGTCATTATGAATATTTCCTTATTAAAATGTCGGATTGGAACAGACACAAGGCTTAAGGCTCTTCATTAAGCCCATGCATTTTACCATTCTCAATACTTATTTCTGCCCAATCAAACTGTTATGAGAGCCCCATTTTGAATGGGGGTGAGAGGTGTTTGTTATGAAGTGTACACAGTACATTTTTTACCCCCCTTTCCGAACTTCGGCAAGGGATAAATTCGTCACTGTCTGACTGAATGTCAGTCATTCAGGAAAGAAATTTGAAGGGGTTACATCCTAAATCAATCTATCCCAAGCTGTAACTACATGAAATCATGGAAGAAGGAGCTTGTTTGTTTTTACTTGTTACATCTCTAAAAGTCACTGGTGCAGAGCTACAGAAGTGTGAGTTTTTTCTCTCAGTGGTTGTTTTTTTGGATTTTTTTAAATCACATGACTAGTACCATAAATTCATCTATAAAGTGCTTTGTGATACCCTGCTTGTTCCTCAGGTCTTCTGGGGGTTATTCAGCCACAATGATATTTTGCTAATCAAAGCCTCAGTGTTTCAGATGACCTGAGAGACAGTCTATCTTTTTAGGTATATCACCTGTTCCATAGCTTGTGATAGTCAAGCTTTGAGAAGAGTGCAATTTGACACTGCTCTGCCAATTGATGCTTGTTTGCATGCTCTTTTTTGATTTCATTAGGGGAAGATGTTATTGCTTCAGAAAGAGCAGCAGCTTTATGTAATGCTTGTGACCTCTCTGGAAAATCCTTGTTTGTGCTGCCACACACTGATCATCTGGTTGGTTACATTATAAGGTAAGTGAATTGGTAAAAGTCTCTTCCTACAGTGCCTTTTTTCCAGTCTATTAAGGGACATATGATATGTAGATATCAACTCTCCTGTACATCAGCTGTAGAGCAATTGTAAACTTACATTATTCATATTTTATTCCATCGTTGAAACACTCCACATCATGCTGAGTCCTGATTAATCCAATAAGTTTTTTTTAACCTTTGTCCTTTTTCCATAAGGTCATGTTATGATTGGCACCTTCCCTCTAAGTAGGCCATAAAACCTGCTACTAAATAGACTTCTGGGAGATAGTGTCAGGAAACCCAAAGACTGCCTTTGCTTCACTCTTGGTCTTTTTACACACTTGTATAGTACATCTAGCCCTATTGGTTAAGGGAGATTGAAGCTACTGCTAGGCAAGTGTTTGCTTTTTTTCCTTGTCTGCCTTCATTAGGTGTCTTCATTCTTTTTCTGTATATGCCAACTACAGTACAAGCTGTTTTATCTGGCATGTTGAGGGAACAGGGGATGCTGGTAAGTGAAAAATGCTGGTTAACTAATTTAGGTCGACCTACAACCATTGCAATAAGTCAATTGGCTGTAGTTGGCCAGGAGCACTTGCACTGACTGAAGTGGGGCACTAACAGCTGTGCGGGGCTCACAGCAGGAGCCCCCAACCCACCCGGGATGACAGCCGGAGTTGTGAGCCCAGCCTGGGCTCAGTTTCACAGCAGGCAGAGTACCAGCACTGAAATTGACATTCTTGTCAGTTTCATGGCTTCAGCTGTGAGCCCCCTGCTTCTGCTCTGAGCCAGAAGCAGCCATGAAACTGACAAGAATGTTAGCCAACTGCTGATGTCAGTAACAGTGTCTAAACAGACACTGTGATGCCCTAACTACACCAACTTAAGTCTCTCGTGGAGGTAGGGTTATTATGTCGGTGTAACAGGCCACTTACTTCGTCAGCAACAGCATTCTAGTGTAGACACTGACATAATTAGGTTGACATAAACTCTTTGGTGTAAACCAAGCCTGAGTACCTTTCCCAATCTGAAGAGCTCTGTGTAGCTCAAAAGCAAGTCTCTCTCACCAACAGATGTTGGTCCAATAAAAGATATTACCTCACCCACCTTGTCTCAAAAATATTCTAGGCAGATAATGTAGGTTAAAACAAATATCACAAGAACTTTTAATTTAGTGCTTTCCTAAATCGGTACCTGTATTGGTACCAGTAACTTAAGTTTTTATGTTTTGGGGTTGTTGTGTTTTTTTTTTGTTTGCCCGCTTACAATGATAGTAGAAGGAATAGTGTTAAAAATAGCCTAATTTAAAGTACTTTAGATCCTATATATACTGAAAGAACTTCTTTATTTGCTTAAAAAGTGATGAGCAATTCTCTCTTACAGATTAGAGAATGCTTTTTATGAGCATGCACAGACCTACTACTATACAGAAATAAGAAGGGTAAAATCTCATAAAGAATTCTTGAATAAAACAACACATCAGGTAATGCTACTCCTTTTTAAATAAGATAATTCCAAAAATATAGATGACTTATAATATATCCTGTGTATCATATATAGGATGTGTGTTTTTTTTTTTTTTTTTTTTTTTCTTTAAATATAAGAATGTTAAAACAAAACAAAATTATTTTCGCACTTTTTTTTTTCTTTTTCACTTTTATCCTAGATATGGTCCTTTTTTCTTACCTTACATCAACTAAAGTGAAATTCACCTCTTAAAGGTGAACTGCAAATAAAAAATGACAGTAGAATTAAATCCAGAGTTACAAACTGAAAACTCCCACTTGTCAGACTTGTGGTAGTAGTGTTTTTCAGCATAGAAACAAGTTTTCAACTCACTTTTTGAAAATAAAATTTCTGTGCTGAAATTCTTTTGGTACCTTAAGTCAGCCTGAAGTATTCCAGTAACAACACACCAAATTCCA